AAGCTGTGAGTGTACTGACAGTCTATAATGTAGACTGTAGCCTGGTTATTAAGTATGGTGAGTGTACTGGCAGTCTATAATGTAGACTGTGGCCTGGTTATTAAGCTGGGTGAGTGTACTGACAGTCTATAATGTAGACTGTAGCCTGGTTATTAAGCTGAGTGAGTATACTGGCAGTCTATAATGTAGACTGTGGCCTGGTTATTAAGCTGGGTGAGTGTACTGGCAGTCTATAATGTAGACTGTAGCCTGGTTATTAAGCTGAGTGAGTGTACTGACAGTCTATAATGTAGACTGTGGCCTGGTTATTAAGCTGGGTGAGTGTACTGACAGTCTATAATGCAGACTGTAGCCTGGTTTTTAAGCTGGGTGAATGTACTGGCAGTCTATAATGTAGACTGTAGCCTGGTTATTAAGCTGAGTGAGTGTACTGGCAGTCTATAATGTAGACTGTAGTAATGGTTATTAAGCTGGGTGAGTGTACTGGCAGTCTATAATGTAGACTGTGGCCTGGTTATTAATCTGGGTGAGTGTACTGACAGTCTATAATATATGTATCTGCACGATTCATATGACAGCTTTTGCTCTCTGATGATGTGTTCGCATCGTTACGGCCTGCTCTTCGGTACGGTTTCCGACGTTTCGCTCCCAAGTGCTGGGAAGCAATATTTTGTTTGTTTTTTAACAGAGCAGCTGTGTATAATACCCGACGTTCCGAGCGATATCCCTTCGTGCAGCGCAAACGCCGACAAACAGCACGCGGCACAGCCGTGGAAACCCGCGTCTCTAGTGTTCATTCACGGCTGTCTGTCAATCCACTCTCCACGTAATGTGAGTTAGGAGTAGTAAATCTTGACTTAAAGCTTTCGTGACTGCAATAATTCACACTCTTTTGGGTCTTTCGGTAAAGTTCACCTAGATAGAAAAAATATATTAAAAAAAAAATCGATCGCAACACAAGCAATCGTCTTCGGGTGAAAAAAATTCGGTAGGCGAACTGCTGAAGCAGGATAATTTGTTTTCACCCGAAGACGATTGCTTGTGTTGCGATCGAAACGTCGTGATTTAAAAAAAAAAACAAATTATGTTTCCATCTACGTGACTTTACCGAAAGACCCAATGAGTATCAGGAGTAGTAAGTACTTCGCCACGCTTGGCAAGTCAGTGGGGATTGTCGGATGAGTTGAGTTTGGTGGGGTCTGGGGAGGACCCACTTCAGGCATTATTCACCCCACTTGTAGCCGTGGTCTGGAACACAACTCCAAATGTTCTCGTGCCAAACCACTGTGCCACCGCTCTTACACACACGTAGCATGACACACATGTAGCATGACACACATGTAGCATGACACATGCGGGGAAGACGATAGAGTCTTAAGGTAGTAACGTATGGAATGGCATATTTGACTACGGCTAATATTTCTTGTTTCATGAATGAATAAATGAATGTTGGGCCATGCTAATTACTCTAATTTGAACCCGTTACTGTTGGTAATGATGTTTTGATGCGGTCAGATGTGTAAGAGCCTCATTCATCGCACGAGTTGGGAATAGTTAAGGCCGATACACTAATTAATGAATTCATCACTGGTGAATGTAATAACATTAAAAATGGTCACCTTGAAAGACTTTGCGTCAAAGGAATTGATGTTAGCATTCTGCTACAGTTTTCTCCGGATTACAAGCCGCTTTGGAGAAAGTAAGACGCACAACAAACTTTTGTCCGGTGTCAATAAAGTTACACAAATATGGTCACACGTGGGCACATCGACACGATTTCTAAGACGCATCCCCAACTTTTGCTTTAACATACAGGGGGGTGGGAGATGGGAATGTGCGTCTTATTATCCGGAGAATACGGTTATATTTATTGCTTGGCATTCTCCATTATCCTGGAATTTCCTTATTTTATAGTATGAACAAGAACTATGCATTCAGTATATGCACGATGCTATACGCATACAACTTCTGTATATGCACAATTGATTATATATTTGTGTAGGGGACTGTATATTTCAGTTATGGCTGGGGTACAACGTTGTGGTACAAGTGGACGCCTGGGCGTGGGAAAATGTACGAAGGAATATTCTGGAAGTCACACGTTGAGTCAATTAAGAACAGGCGGCCCGTCCACGTGGGGACACCAGCTCATTGTGGGCAGGGCCCAAAGAGGGTATATAAGAGGGACCCTAAACGCAGTACGGGGCGCAAGGCTGGGATGAGACCGAAGAAGGACGGTCAAGGCGGGGTGCTGCTCGGCTGGATTCAACGGGAGCAGCGCCGACTCTCCCATTTGTAAATAAACACCTTGTTAAAATGGACACCTCCAAGGTACTCCTTTACACTGGTGGCAGCGGTGGGATCTCAACCTTTACATCCCGACGAAGAACCGAAAGAGGAGCTCAACAAGAGGAGGAAGGTGCCGACCCGCTGGCGGTGATGTTCTTGGGGGAACCCGAGATGCCGAGACTGAAGAGTGGAAGGGTGGCGATAGTTGGCGGAGAAGGTGGACCGCCTCAGCGGCTCATCGCCGTGGTGCACTTGCACGTAAAACCACATTTTGTTATGCTGCAGGGGGTTCGGGGGGAGGGTGATGGCGTGCTGCACGGGAGCGAGCACAATCCTGGTAGAAACGGAAATGGCTGTATAATTATAAGCCAGCTAAAAGTTTGACTTGGTTGATGACATCCTTCCAAAAGTTGCTCAATCCCTCAGAACCCCCTGCAGAATAACAAAAGGCGGATTAACTTAGCCCCTCCCCACCCACGTCCCTTCCTGGCTCCTCCCCCCCCCTTAACTTAGCCCCCCCCTCCCCACCCATGTCCCTTCCTGGCTCCTCCCCCCCCCCTTAACCTGTATATAATCTCGTGTGTCCTAGAGCTGTTCACTTGATACAGCTAATTTTGCTCTGTCTGTTCCCCCTGAAGACGGAAGCTTGTGTTGCCTCCGAAACGTGATTTAATTTAGTTTTCATTTATTTTATTTTACCTACGTGATTTTAACCGAAAAAAACCAAAGAGTATGAATCCTTGCAGTCACAAAAGCTTCAAATCTAGAATTAGCTGGGGTTCACAAGGTACCTCCGGGCCACCTGAAGAGGCAGGAGCATCAGAGAGGACGACCACCGCAGAGATGGGGTGAGGAGATCGTTGTGATCGTTGTGCAGGAGTGAAACGGATGGTATCAGCACCGGGCCATGAGAGATGACGATAGCATGGGGGGGGGGGGAGGCCTTGATCTTGCAGTTGGATGGACAATGACCCTTACTATATATGTCAAGTATATGTAAACATACTATATGTATACATCATAAACTGTGTATAAACTGTTGGATGTGTGTGTACAACAAGGCACTGCATAGAAAGCCAGTCAGTCTGGCTCATTAACCACTGCAGTGTGCATTGCATATACGGGTTATGCACATGGTTGTACGGACACTTGACAACATAAGTCAAATTATGAGCATAAGATATGTGTTCACATTGGTTCATTAATCATGAACAAGTTACGGGAGAAGGGAACTCCTAGAATCAGCAAAGTGGAGTTGGCCTCACACCCTTTGACACTTATGTTGAGTGATTAAGGGAGTCTGGCCACATAGCCCCTTGCACAACACATTCCTGCGGAGGGAGCTGGTAGGAACGTTGGGTTGCTCGGTTAATGGCAAGGGTCAACGGCGGCACCACGTGGTGTATTCCGCAAATATGCTCGACTGAGGGCGGGCACAAGCCGGCGTGAGTAGGTTAAACGTTGAGTTGTATAAGGGCACCACGGGGTGACCAGCCCCTCTCCACCCAGCCCCACCCCTCCCACCCCCCACCCAGCCCCTCCCCACCCTCCCCACCCTCCCCTCTCCACCCAGCCCCACCCCTCCCATTTTTTAATGCACGACGGACGGACACAATAATCCCCTGTGGGCTGGTGTAACCAGGAGGTTCCTACCAGTATAATGTCCTGTATAGTGATGAATGAACGGTGAACGAATGAATAATATACAACAATTGAGACAGAGCTGACTGATAATGATGAGAATTATCGCAAGCATGGTTACTTGAAGAAATGTTACTTCACCATGTCTGTCTCGTGGAGTGTCAATGTGCACTGCACGTGGTGATTTTGAGAATCCTGATTTAAATTTGAAGTAACCGTGTACACATTCACAATTAGTGAAAATATGGGCAGGCGGACGCCTGGAATTTTACGCTCGAAACCCACCACCGTCGTGTTCGCTGCCCACCACTCACATTAACATAAGCAGCCTCGCCCATGCTGCTGACATTTTGGCTATGCCCATTTCAAACCTTTATAAACAGTTTGCCTTTAGAAGCTAACCCCCTTTTCCTGATGACGACCGCTTGTGCTGCGATCGAGACGTCGTCGTTTTTTGGTATTTTGTTTGAACCTATCTACGTGACTTTACCGAAAGACCCAAAGAATATGAGTTCCTGCAGTCACGAAAGCTTTAAGTCAAGATTTCATATGCGCATTTTTTTTTTAAACTGAATGGTCCACACCAGAGACAGCTTTCTTTAGAACCTAGTCTCAAATAGTGTTTGACTATAGAATGCCAAAAGGAGAACAGCACAAAGACAATGCCACTATCAGGGCATTTATCGCTCGTGTTGAGCAGCTACATCATGGGACCTTTCTTGCCGGTATCCAAATAAAAAAATTGGTTTTACCCTTTCTGGAAATAAAACAGGTGTTAAGATGTTAAAACAATAAAACAGGTGTTAAGATGTTAAAACAATAAAACAGTTGTGCTAAGATGTTAAAACAATAAAACAGGTGTTAAGATGTTAAAACAATAAAACAGGTGTTAAGATGTTAAAACACCAAACAGAAGCCTTTTGAAGACAGGTCCCATGATGAAAGTGAGGATGAAGTGAGGTGAAAGGAACGATGTGCAGACAAGATAGAGATGAGAGAGGTTAATTGGCAATTGTGTGTATTACCTTATCATGGATTTTAACTGATATTCGATGCACCCTTATTTTCTCACGAATCTAATGACGCCCGCTTTGGGAGGGGGGATCCCTTATCTCTTGGCGTCAGCGGCGGCTTGACGCCACAGTGAGGCTATAAACAGAAAGAAATTCGCTTTTTGCCAATGTGCTGGTGGTGATGTCATTACCGCATGCATGTGTTCTCTCGCAGGCAAAAGATTGAGAAGTGCTGTGACCCGCTGAAAAGCTTCGCTCTCACGCAGACGAATTCTCCGGTGGGAAAGAAGATCTGGTTTGACGGAGAGCTGTTCCATTGGATCACTGTGGACAACGACACCTTTGGTCTATTCCCACCTGTGAGGACCCCTTATCGACGATAAACCGTTCACGGATTTTAGTCTCGTGTGTGTGCTTCATGGGGGATTCCGCTGTATGTATGTTGAACATATTTCGCACCGTTACTGTAGCCAACCGTGCTCATTGGAGGTTAGCACGGTTGACTGCTGTGGTATAAACACTGAGCACACTGGACTCGCAATCCAGAGGTCCCAGCTTTGATTCGATCTCCCGGCGTGGTAGTTGAAATAATGGTTGCAAGTTTATGGAATCCACCCCGCCTTTGTCCATCCAGCAGTATCAGTGAGTATAGCACAGTTAGTCAATTAATTTCACGTGTCGTGGGGTAAAGTGTAAATACTTCCACTTCCAAGACCTTTTGTCACTTGTTAACTCTTATCACCTTTCCTGGATTTCAGTCTTGTGTGTATGCTGCATAGGGATGCTGCTGCTTTGTAACGGAAAGCACACGTGACTTGGAAGCCAAAGGTGGCTGGTTTGACTTTATCTCTTGGTGTGGTAGTTGAAACAATGGTTGCAAGTTCCTTAAACCCACCCCGGCTTTTGTCCATCCAGCCGTATGAATGGGTACCTCTTCCAAGACGCCTTTCCAGTGTGGAAGAGTAGGCCAAATACCTGCCAGAGGGGCTCTCTAGAGCGCCGTCTAGTGGGGGCCCTTCCACCAGTAGTGTTGGCATGAAATTGGAGGGCTGCACTTTTACCTATACACTTCAAATGATTCAGAAACGGGGTCATTAACAAAAAATACTGCAAAAAAACTCAGACGTTGGCAAGGAAGCGTGGAGTGATGCACACTTGGAATTGAGGAACACAGATTAAGTCAGTGCTTACCTTGTTACAGACCAATTCAGGCCTTATTGGTCACCCCATGCTATTATAAATCTCAACGTTCATCCTACAAAGTCCCATCACAAGGGAGAAATATAAACACATAGACAGAATTATGGTTTGTTTTGGCCATATTGAAATGGCTGAATGAACCTGGAAACTCAATTTCCCTGTACAAGAATACGGGGTAAACCATATGGGTTGACAGGAATGTAAACTGTTAATAAAAGTGGATACAGCTTGAAACAATGTTGTGCCAACTGGCAATCGCCAACGCGAGAACATACAGTGAGGGAAAAAAGTATTTGATCCCCTGCTGATTTTGTACGTTTGCCCACTGACAAATAAATGATCAGTCTATAATTTTAATGGTAGGTTTATTTGAACAGTGAGAGACAGAATAACAACAAAATCCAGAAAAACGCATATAAAAAATGTTATAAAGTGATTTGCATTTTAATGAGGGAAATAAGTATTTGACCCCTCTGCAAAACATGACTTAGTACTTGATGGCAAAACCCTTGTTGGCAATCACAGAGGTCAGACGTTTCTTGTAGTTGGCCACCAGGTTTGCACACATCTCAGGAGGGACTTTGTCCCACTTCTCTTTGCAGATCTTCTCCAAGTCATTAAGGTTTCGAGGCTGACGTTTGGCAACTCGAACCTTCAGCTCCCTCCACAGATTTTCTATGGGATTAAGGTCTGGAGACTGGCTAGGCCACTCCAGGACCTTAATGTGCTTCTTCTTGAGCCACTCCTTTGTTGCCTTGGCCGTGTGTTTTGGGTCATTGTCATGCTGGAATACCCATCCACGACCCATTTTCAATGCCCTGGCTGAGGGAAGGAGGTTCTCACCCAATATTTGACGGTACATGGCCCCGTCCATCGTCCCTTTGATGTGGTGAAGTTTTCCTGTCCCCTTAGCAGAAAAATACCCCCCAAAGCATTATGTTTCCACCTCCATGTTTGACGTTGGGGATGGTGTTCTTGGGGTCATAGGCAGCATTCCTCCTCCTCCAAACACGGTGAGTTGAGTTGATGCCAAAGAGCTCCATTTTGGTCTCATCTGACCACAACACTTTCACCCAGTTGTCCTCTGAAGCATTCAAATGTTAATAAAGAATTAAAGCTTTCGTGACTGCATAAATTACTCATTGTTTTTTTTTCCGGTAAAGTCACGTATGTGGAAATACCACAAAATTATATTAAAACAAATCAATCACGACGTTTCGACCGCAACACAAGCGATCTTCATCAGGTGCAAAAAATAAATAGCGAGGGAGCATATAGGGTGACATCAACGCAACACATAGAGAGCGTTAAACTGCACGGAGGTAAATACAACAAGAAGATGAGAGACGAGAATTCAACAAACCTAAGAAAAAATTACGTGAAGCACAACCAGTCAGGCCAACAACACAGACACTTACCTGGTGGACCACGAATTTCAGAAGAGTGTTACATTTTCGTGTTCAACCTCTGGATTGAACATACCAGCATAGACAAATCTGGTCCGCCAGGTAAGTGTCTGTGTCGTTGGCTGACTGGTTTTGCATCACGTAATTTTTTCTTAGGTTTGTTGAATTCTCGTCTCTCATAGCTTGTTGTATTTACCTCCGTGCAGTTTAACGCTCTCTATGTGTTGCGTTGATGTCACCTACTTGTTTTTTACACCTGATGAAGATCGCTTGTGTTGCGGTCAAAACGTCGTGATTGATTTGTTTTAATATAATTTTGTGGTATTTCCACATACGTGACTTTACCGGAAAAAAACATTCCGATGTTCATTGGCAAACTTCAGACGGGCATGTATATGTGCTTTCTTGAGCAGGGGGACCTTGCGGGCGCTGCAGGATTTCAGTCCTTCACGGCGTAGTGTGTTACCAATTGTTTTCTTGGTGACTATGGTCCCAGCTGCCTTGAGATCATTGACAAGATCCTCCCGTGTAGTTCTGGGCTGATTCCTCACCGTTCTCATGATCATTGCAACTCCACGACGTGAGATCTTGCATGGAGCCCCAGGCCGAGGGAGATTGACAGTTCTTTTGTGTTTCTTCCATTTGCGAATAATCACACCAACTGTTGTCACCTTCTCACCAAGCTGCTTGGCAATGGTCTTGTAGCCCATTCCAGCCTTGTGTAGGTCTACAATCTTGTCCCTGACATCCTTGGAGAGCTCTTTGGTCTTTTCGATTTAAAGCTTTCGTGACTGCAAGGATTCATCTTCTTTGGTTCTTTCAGTAAAGTCACGTAGAATGAGAATAAAATAATAAAATAAGACAATAACATTCTTACGACGTTTCGGCCACAGCACAAGTAGCCTTCTTCAGGTGAAAGAACAGAACTGTCGGGACGACAGAGCTTGAATGAACGCTGTTAAGATTCATAGCATCTTTTAAGCTCGGTGAGAGGCGTGGAGAGCCTTGACAAAGGAGTTTACCTATCAAAGCAGGAGAATTTAGCATTGAAATAGCTGAGGGATTAGCTTGTGACAGAAATAGCTGTGTTAAAGTCAAAGTTTACATATCAACAGAGGCATTTAGTATATGGACGCTAAAGGCCTCCAACTACCAACTATCATAAAGTATACCGATGTGAAAAAACTCAATCTATATTACATCAATATAATAAATGTACTTAATATATTCAATAAGCTGAGCTATTAATCACAAAGCAACTGGGTATACACTACACTATATAATGAATACCATATAGTAAACCAATAAAAAAACAAAATATAAGCTATCTCAATGTTATCAATAAACTATATACTCTCCAATCAGCTGAGCCACCAACAATAAGTCGTTATATATCAATGCCCTCAACACCAGAACCACGGACAGCAACGTTCAGGCGGACGAGTCAATCCATGCTCGGAACGGAGGAGGGGGGAGAGGGAAACAACTACAATGCGCTGTTATACTCCATGTTATAAACCATACCATTAACCGTGGTGTGAGAGGTATTAAGAGGCAATGCTAGCGAAAGAGCTGCGGTCTGACGGTCACCGTAAAATGCAATTAATTAAGAACCGAAATGGTTTATCAAATCTTTCCAATGGTTACTAAGCCAGAATCCATCTTCTCGGTTGAAATTGTCTCTGTGCTTGTATATGTGGATGGCCTCATGAACGAATCTCTCATGGTAGCCAGTTGGCTTACTATATGGTATTCATTATATAGTGTAGTGTATACCCAGTTGCTTTGTGATTAATAGCTCAGCTTATTGAAGAATATATTAAGTACATTTATTATATTGATGTAATATAGATTGAGTTTTTTCACATCGGTTTACTTTATGATAGTTGGTAGTTGGAGGCCTTTAGTGTCCATATACTAAATGTCTCTGTTGATATGTAAACTCTGACTTTAATACAGCTATTTCTGTCACAAGCTAATCCCTCAGCTATTTCAATGCTAAATTCTCCTGCTTTGATAGGTAAACTCCTTTGTCAAGGCTCTCCACGCCTCTCACCGAGCTTAAAAGACGCTACGAATCTTAACAGCGTTCATTCAAGCTCTGTCGTCCCAACAGTTCTGTTCTTTCACCTGAAGAAGGCTACTTGTGTTGTGGCCGAAACGTCGTGAGAATTTAATTGTCTTATTTTATTATTTTATTCTCATTCTACGTGACTTTACCGAAAGAACCAAAGAAGATGAATCCTTGCAGTCACGAAAGCTTTAAATCGAAATATAAACACTTTAATTGGGATCCTCCTGAAAAAGTCTCATATAAGTCAGTGTGGGTCTCCTGGATAAACACGTTAAAAAAAATTGTAACTGCGCAGGGAATACCCCAATATTAAATATTAGTTTGTGCCACTGTGCTGGCAGTGATGCACAAGTACAGATCACAACCTCATTCGACACACTCGTCGTTAGCGCTGCCCCAAAAGGAAAAGCGTCTGATAGGTGACATTTTATGCAGTGGTGGCCCATCGCCACAACAGCCCATGTATGTCTCTGGCTTCTCTCTCGTGACGTCGGGAGAGATCTTTGCACTAAATGTGGCCTATTGTATGCTTGTCCTTTTGGATCAGTGTTTATTATATCAGAATCTGAATATTTATTTACATTGGAGTAATACGATGAGCTATACAATTATTTTTTCACAGATGGCCAGTAGTTCTATGTTATTCTGTTTTTCCATTTGACCGATATTTTAATTTTAG